GTTTGGAGCAGTGATAGGTAATAAAGGGCTATTCCCTCCCCAGGAGATGTGACTATTTGAGAGGATCAACGAGAAATTGACGAAATTCGCCAATCTTTAATAATTTCTCAGCAGTTATCCAATGATATTTTCAAAATGCTTTCTTGAACATAACGAATTTATTCGTTTGATGCAACTGACAAATTCGTAGTATTAAACTCCGTGATCAGCAGATCAGTTTCGTGATTGCTTCTGAGTTATTGTTAAAAAGTAATCAGTACTTTAACAGGAGGAATAAGGGGAGAACACAGGCACGAGAACCACTGCTTCAGATGCATTCACGTGTGTGTGAACTTGTTAAATTATATCCAGAATAATCTTTCAATCGATGCTTATTGTTTTGATTGATCAACTATAAAAAGTTAGATTTTAGAGTGTACATATTGCTGATTAATGATTGTATGAGCATAAAACTTTACGGCATTATCATTAATTCACAGTCTTTTCTCTAGGGACCATTGAATTTCAGTTCTTTTTTTTTGTGAATTCTTATTGTTTGTAGACGTTGTAATCGCTCTCATCTAAATACATCTTAAAAGACTTGTTGTTATCTTATTGTTTCTTCTTCTGCTGTTACAATTCCTTTCGATTCGTTCAAACAGCTGCATTCAAACTCTCACTCTATTGCATATATCATCTAAACGCTTGCCTCAATTTCGTTGATTTCTGTCAAACGCTCAACAGAAAGCGCTATCACACAAATGTAGGTGGGGGCATAGCTCAGTGGCAGAGCATTCGACTGCAGATCGAGAGGTCCCTGGTTCAAATCCGGGTGCTCCCTTCTTTTGTTTTCGAAACTTTCATAGTTAACCGAAATCGCCATTCAAGCCGCGCACACTACATAAACGAGCTCTCTTTGCAGTGTAACTCATAAGAGCAACAGATTCGCATGAGGTCGCATTTATTGGCTGATTAAAATTTCGAGAAACAGAAGCATTTGTCTTTTGTATATTACAGATAATGTGTATTCAATTTGTATTAAATGATAAACATGTGTACACGTTTTGTTGATGAGTATCACAATGGGACACTTGAATCGTTGATGGTGAACGTTTTGAACGGTGATTTTGCTCGAATTATTTCTTCGTTTTTCGTTTACTTTTTGGTTTTGCTGGCATTGTTGGCATGGTTGAGGATGTGGCAGAGCTTGTACGATCCTCAGTGGTCGTGCCCTCTTCCTCCCAGTCAAACGGTGCATTGATGTTCAGTTTGGCCGCACTGGCAGCGTTTCGTAATTTTTGATACAAGAATGAATAGTCGACTTTATCCTCATATTCCAGCTTATCAATATAATCCATGATTGCACTCATATCCTGTTGACCCATTTTACCNGTTGATGAGTATCACAATGGGACACTTGAATCGTTGATGGTGAACGTTTTGAACGGTGATTTTGCTCGAATTATTTCTTCGTTTTTCGTTTACTTTTTGGTTTTGCTGGCA